GGCGCAGCAAGTGGGGGGGGGGTGAATGTGTCAGTCTGCAGGGGGGCCTGCGCACATGGATCCGTCCCGATCCTCTCAAGAAAGGCCGCGCCGGTGCGGACAGGACTCTTAGCCCTCTCTGTGCGTGTGCGTTGCAGTGCTGAAGGAGACCTTCGATGCTCTGAGCAGCATGAAGGACGCGAGCGTCCGTGTCGATGCGCTGGGCTCCACGCTGGCGAGCGTGGGGATTGTATTAACGGAGGAGGAGCTACGCGAATTGCTGGCATCCGTTGCCATCGCCGGTGAGTATGCCAGTTGGCTTTGCCCTGGTGAGCTGCGTGCTGGGGCCGGCTGGAAACGAGCGTTGGGATTTCCCGATGTCTGTGTGCGTGAGAGCTCGTGAAAGCCCCTGAAAGGGCATTCCCGCCATAGATCTCGGAGCGCTTTACAAGGGACGTCAGTATCATTATCCTCATGTTATGGGGGCAGGACTGCGGCACACAGAGCTAAAGCGACTGTCCCACGGTCCTGTCGTAAGTCAGTAGCGGGGCTAATGCTCAGCACGCCTGAGTCGTAAGCCAGTCTGTCTCGCTAGAGGGCCGGCAGGACACATCTCCTGCTTATGGAGGTCTTCACTGTAGCGGTGACTGCACATTCACGCAGCCAGAATTCTGGGCCTGAGTCCCTCTCGCATGAGCCAACTTTTATGCGGGTGCAAAAGGCAGCCATTCACTCGCACCCCCCTTCATACACCGCTAGCTGTCTTCAGCCCTCCTGCGCCCGGCCAGCTCACTGCTCAACAGAGCAGGTGATCACACAAGATCTGGGGCATGCATCAATGGGCCTGATTCTCCCTGGTATGAAGGCCCCTTGAGCTGCCCCTGGCAGCAGTAAAGGGAGATTTATTTCCACTCCCAGCTCCCTCTGCCCTCCAGGGTAGCCTGGAGGGACCTCCATGTCACTGGGACGTGAGCCCTGAGAGAGGCGAATCTGGACCTTCCCCCAGAAATTAGTGATGAGGATTCCAGTGTGGCGCGACCTGCATCTCTCTGCATCCCCCGGTAACGTCTGCACTGGGCTGTGCCTTGCAGGAGACGGGATGGTGCAGTTTAAAGACGTCCTGGTGTCCATGACGGGGACCCGGCGACTCACTGAGTTTGAAGGTGAGCCGAAGCGCACAGGCGCTGACAATGGATGGAGGGGGATGCTGAGCTGGGGGCTCTCCCAGAAGAAGCCCCGGGAGACTCCAGGTGGGGGATAGCAGCAGTGCTCTCCGAGCAAGACTAGATCTCTCTCTAATGGCCGGTTGTCGGCCATGCGCTGGCCTCCATCCACTCCTGCAGGCTGGGATTTCCAAAGCCACTTGGAGGAATTTGGGGTCCAATTCCCATTCAAAATAAACGGGGATTCCAAATCCCACAGCAGCTCCTCTGCAGTCAGGGTCGGGAGGCCAGGACAGACAACACATTGTGCTCCAGACCTAAAAGCGCACGGTCCCTCGGGGAGGCTGCAACATACTCCGTGGCCCAGGTGTAGAGCTGGGAACCTGTAACACCAGCAGGTGAGGTGACACAGGGATGCAGTCGGAGGGGCATGAGACATGGTTTGCAGCCATCCAGACCCGTGGGGGTGAGATGAGTGTCACAGTGTTGCTGGTCATGCAGCCAAAAAATAAAGGTAGCACAGGAAAGGAGGGGAAAGCAGGGAAGAGGCAAAAAAGAGCAATGTCTCTGCTTCCAGCTGCTAAGAATTCACCAAAGGTTGCTAAGAGGGGAGGCCAAATCTCTGCAGATTAATCGTCTCCAATGCAGGACTCACTCTTGCTGCCAAGTCGCTGTGCCAAGCCGCTATCCCCGGCGGCTGTCTGCTCCTCCGACTAAGTAAGCAGAGCTAATTGGCTGCAAGCTCTGGTCTAGAGAACCACGCTTTCTGCTCGCTGGCACGCTTCCAGGAGGCGGGAAAAGCCAAACCACGGATCTGGGAAGCTGAGTCTTTCAGGAGGAACCCTTGACACTCTGTATTTGGAACCGTAGTGGGGTTGTCTGGCCCCATGTCTCTGTTGATGTAAGAGCAGAGGAATTCCCAGACTGGATTGGACCAAGCGTCTGTCTAGCCAAGTGTCCCGTCTCTTTCAGGACCTAGTATCCGATGCTTCAGAGAAAGATGCAAAAAAACCTAACAAAACCCATCATGAGTGACAAAGTAATCCAGGGCGTTCCTGCCTCGCCCTCTCACTCGGTGCTACCTTCTGCCTGCAGCAGGCGGAGATTTAGTGCTGAGACTAGGTGATCCTGTTTAAGGGAAGAGTCAGTGTTCCCATCCATTCCCGGCTCGCATCCAGGACGTTTCTCACGTGGCTCATTCATTGTCTTATGGGCTCCGCTGTGCGGGGAGTAATTCCTGAATATGTTCCTGCTTAGCGCTGCCTGTGAACATTTTTGTTCCAGAATAAGAGCATCCACACATGGAGTTAATCAAGAATAGTTAATCCACTTTAAAGTCACACCCCCACATTACTCCAGATTAAATTTCAGCTGTAAATACATGTGATGGCGCATTGGGGTTTCCCATCTCCTGCACCCCCGTAGTGGCACAGACAGACTCCACCAGCCAGTAGACTAGAGGGAGTTTATTGCTTCTCCAGGATACAGCACAGCACAGATGTCATCTGGTTACAGGAACCGGGCCTAGGATGCCTCAGACCCCTTCAGATGGGGGAGACTGGGCCCCTAAATCCCAGCCCCTTTCCGTAGGCTGTCTCCTCCATGATCCCAGACAGAAACTAACTCTCTTCCAGCCCTGCCCCCCCAGCCAGGGGCGGCATTCCACCTTCCTTTGTTTCTCTCCCTGGAGGGTAGCTGGTCGGACAGGTTGAGAGACCCTTGCCTAGTGACTCATCCCCTGTCCTGCTGGGCCGTGCTACAGACAGCAGCCAGTGGGGGTCACCTACAGCCCCAGCATAGCAACCAGCAAGGTACCAACACTGCGTCACAGTACACCCTTACGTGGCTTTGGCTTTTCGAAACTGAGCCTATCACTGATTATCCTTTTTCTATACCAACCGTATCTCCGTAGTTAACAGAACCTTTCTTCTGGGGTCGTTTGCAGCTTGTGCCAAGCGAGTGTAAAACGCTGCCGGGCCGTTGCTGATCTAGTGACCTTCCAAGCCCACTGCATCAGCAACTGCCCCTGCCAGGCTAGCAGAGAGCCAGGCTCCGAGACGCACTAGCTGCCTCTCTGCTCGCGCAGCCTTGCAGGACGCGTTCACTGCCCTCAGCAAAATCAGCGGAGACAAGATCGAGGTGAGCAGCTTGCCGGCAGCGCTGAAAGCCTTGGGGATCCAGTTAACCCCTGAGGAGCTGCAAGAAGCCCTGCCCTCCTGTCCTGCTGACGGTGAGCGTCTCACGCACTCGGTTCTAGGGCTTGGCAGAGCACTGGGGGATGTTCTGCCCGGCCTGGGGGGATGCGGTACTGGCTGTGTGTGAGAGTGGGTGGAGGATGTAGGAACCTCTCATCTCCTGGTATGGCCAGGGGGAGGGCTGGGGGGTTTCTGGGACCCGAGGAGGAGGAGGAAAACCAGTGGGAAGCTTTGGAGCTGGGACGTGCATCACTCTGGTTTGCTACGGAAAAGGCAGGACTGTGGGAGGCTTAGGGAAAGGCTAGTGCCGCTTTCGGAGGCAGGGGCTGGGAGCATGCACACCTGGGAGGGATCGGTGGTTTCTGGGTCACTGTGGCAGGGCTCTGCAGCTGGCACAGCTGTTGCATGGGCTGCTTGTGGCAGAGATGGATTGTGGAGGGGTCTGGAATCTATGGGTCCATTCAGCACTGTCCTTTTAACCTGGGCCTGATCTTAAACTTGGGAATCCCCCGGGAGGGGCCTTAGACAGAGGCAGATCCCAGCAACTATGTGGGCTTATTTTTCATGCCATCCTGCAGCTGTTAACAGGTTCCCTGTTGCCAGCCCTTGCTCCGCCACCTGGAGAGGCAGAGGTTTCCGGCCATGCGATAGGGCTGTGAACGTGCTAATCCAAGTGCCTGTCTGAGCTCTCCAAAGCGGGGTCAGACTCCCAGGGAGAATGGGACTTGGGTCGCTGCACCCGTCTTTCCGGAGGGATGGGGGAGGGTATATCCAGACAAGACCCTCTGGGTCTGATTCTCTCCCCGGTAACACCAGGCCAGTGCTGCAGTAACTCCCCCAAAGGCATGGGCCTTATTCCACCGGTGCGAGTCACCCCCGAAGGCGCCCACCTGTCTGTCAGTAGCGTTGCCCAGCGGTGTCTCTGTTTGTCTCTCTCCCTTCTGAGCCGTGCGCTGCCTTGCAGGATCGGGGAGGGTGAATGTGCAGGAATTCATGCGGCTGCTGAGCCGCACCCCGCGCGTCTCTGGAAGTGCAGGTGAGTGGCAGGGGATGGGAGAGGAAGCTCTGGGCTGGGGGGGTGACAAAGCGTAGGCCTGCCCCCGCTTGGCTCTGTTACGATGAACTGTTTGCAAGAGCCCAACCCCTACTCCGTGGCAGGCGGGTTTATCAACGTGGGGCAGGAGAAACGTTCGCCACACGACTCGGCATCTCCCAGGAGCCATCGCTGGCCCCGGTGTGAATTCGCCTGATGCAGGAGGTGTGCTTCCCGGGTGACTTGCCGCCGATGATGATTTTACAGGTTACACCTCACTAAAGTGCAGCCCCCGGCTTGGGCCAGTGCCCCAAACCATTGTCGTGTTCCCACCTTCTTTGTTCTGGATCCCGGCGTTCCAGGGCCTGCTCCTCGCTCGGACTAAAATGTAGAATCAGAGAATCCTGGGGCGGGAAGAGCCTTCAGGGTCATGGAGTCCAGGCCCCCGCCCAAAGCAGGACCTAGAATGAATCTATCTTTATTTTGACACGGGCGAGGTTTTCGAGCTGGAGAGGCGTCTGGCCACCAGCCCTGGAAATCCATCCCTCTGTGGAAGGGACCCGGAGAAGCAGGAGGACCCCCAGGCCCTTGACGACCTTCGGGCCCGGGGCGCCTTTGTTCGTCCTCGCATCTATCTCCTGCGGGGAGATACTTTCTTTTACACCCTGGAGAAAAAGAGGGGAGCTAAAAAAAAGCACTTCAGCAAATGCCAGGAATTACGGGATACTCAGCTTCCGTCAACAGGATTATGGGAGAGGCCAATTCAGGCTTTCTCATTGTTGCCGGATTTGTGTTTGTGGTTATTGGCACTTGATGCATATTATAGATATGTGGTGCAGATAATACAATTACTATGAGATATATTTATGTGCTGGCAACACACGTCAGTCGTCTGACATAGGCTTAGGAGACCTGGGCTCTAAACCCAGCTCTGCCACTAGCCTGCTAGGTGTCTTTGGGCCAGTCACTGCCCTGCTTTGTGCCTCAGTTTCCCCTTTGCCTTGTCTCGTTAGAGAGTAAGCTGCTCAAGGGAGGGACTCTCTTACTACCCTGCTGATTGTGTCTGGGAGCTCTAGACAAAACTGAAATGAATTCCTGTGGAGCAGTCGCTTGCCTAGTCAAGCTTGAAGCCAGTGTTTTATACCCACAGCCCTTTAAGTCCGTTGTTGTTTAACAGTTTCCTTTGGGCAGCCTTGCTTTCATCAGCCATTGGTACTGTGTGTCTGTGTGTGCAGCGCTGCAGGCGGCTTTGGAGACTGTCAACAGGATCAAAGAGGAGAAGGTCCCTGCTTCTCAGCTGGAGCAGATGCTCAACAGCTTGGGAGTGCACGTGGCCAAAGAGTCACTCCTGGAAGGGCTGAAGGCTGCGGATGGTGAGTATCTCCCACATCAGTCCTTCTGCGGGAAGGGAGCCACTGCTCGGGGGTTCCACGTCTGTACACAGCTCCGCGCCCGTGTCCTCTTTTGCCACACCTGCCGTGATGCTGGGCCATATTCCTGCCAAAAGCTGAGCCCGCTGGGCCCCGATCCATCAACATGCATGTGCATGCGCTTGGTATTCAACACAGAAACATGAGTCCCATTGCTATTATCCAATCCATACACCGCGTGGGCTAGGGACCCAGTCACCCCTGCGTGACAGTCAGATGCCAGATGTTCCCAGCTAACACCCAAAGGTCAAGAATTGCCCGTAAAAAATAATCAGACCTGGTTTATTTGCCCAGCAATTGCTGAGGATGCTGTCTGCCTGGGACCTTCTCAAAGGCCATCTCTGAACCTCCCAAACAAAAACTGTCAATACATTAATTAGGAGGAAAATGTGGGGGTAATTCTATAACTACTGTATGGCAAAAAGAGGCATTATGGCCTGACTGGGAGTCAGGAGGGCCGAGATTTAATCTATTTGAGCTGTTGACCTTGGGCAAGTCATGGCACAGCTATGTGCCTCAGTTTCCCCATCTATAAAGTGAAGATCATTGTAGGTACTTCCTTTGAAAAGTGCTTGAAGATCAACCTGTGAAAAGTAGTGTAGAAGGAGAGAACCTGTCTCTCTTGCACACCAATTTCCACAGATGCTGTAGCCTCTTTAAGAAGCACTATGCAGTAAAAAGCTCTGTTATCCGGCATGTTGGGGCAACAGGAGGTGACAGTTAATCAAATATTCTGGCTAACTGAGAGTTTTTCCTTACCAACAGAATACCAGTGCTAAGAATTTGTAACGGGGCATCTGCCCATGGCCACACTGGCCCTTTAGGGGTTAAAGCCGAGCCCTAGGAAAGGACTGAGAGAGTGGAGCCTGCAGCTGAGGCAGATACAGACAATTAGGGCCCAGCTGGGGCTGTATAAATAAGGGCTCCTGGAGGGAGGATGGGAGACACACTCTTGCCCTAGCTGGGGGAGCAGTAGGGTTGTTAGGTGTCTGGTATTGACCTAGACAGTCCGGTATTTTTGCCTCCTGTCTGGTAAAAAAAAAAATCAGAAAATACCAGACACCTAAAATGTCCAGTATTTTATGATGTTTTTTCCCAGAAAAAATACCAGACACCTGGCAACCCTATACACACTCAGCAACCGGGCCCAGCCCCCACATCCTCCTGCTTACCTGGTTCCACAGGGAAGCTGCCCTTTGGCTCCGATCAAGAAAACAAGATGGCCACCGGCAAAAAGCCTAAAGACTTTTCTTAAAGGGGCCATGCTGTTTTAATGCGGTTTTTTTTTTTTTGTTTTTGTTTTTTGGCTTTCTCTTTGGGGCCTGTTTTTTTTCCTCAACAGATTTTTTTCCTGGTGGTTTTTTTTTTTTTTGGGGTTTTTGGTTTTTTTGGTTAAACCATCTGGCAACCCTAGGGAGCAGGAGGGACCTGGCTGCCAGGGAAGCTGGAGGCTTCTTGAGACAGAGCAGGGCTAGGGAAAGGCAGGCAGGGCTGGGGAGCTCTGGCCTGACCACACTCCCAGGCTGCAGGGCCTAAGGCAAGGCCCGAGGTGGTAGGGCTGCCGGGAGTGAGCCAAGGCAGGAAAAGGCAGCAGGTCCACACCCCCTTTCCAATGCTGAGTGGCCATGTCAGACTGCTAGATGATGACTGGCCATGGGTCACTGAGGCAAGGTGAGCACGGGGGCGGAGGCGGGGGTTGGGGATTCCCTGGGAGGGGAGAACCCCAGAGTGCAGGGGCCATGACACAGGGTTACACTAGGGGAAAGAGCACAGTGGGCAGGAAGGCGCACTGGGCTGAACCAGCAGAAGACCTGCCCCAGGGGCAGGGACACCGATCAGCAGAGGGCACACTGAGGTGGCAGAACTGATTGCCGAGTGACCGACCGGAGGCGCGGGGGGAGATGAGTTTCCGCCCCCGGCAGAATTAGAATTCAGTACGTGACTAACGTGTCAGCATGCAGGCACTCACCAGTCCAACAGCAGTGCAGCGCTACCGAGTGGCTGGTTTCTTAACCGCTCGGGTGGCCACAGTAGGTTGGCTACCGCTCTGGGCAGTGCGTGGCAGACTCCCCGATCACTACTGCACACTACTGAACACAAATTCATCTCTCTTCCTGTTTCAGGAGCCCCGAACGCAGGCTCTTGCAGTGTCTCAGGGTCATTATCAGCCTCCGTTCCCACTGGAGATGTGCAGGTGTAGGAGATGGGGCTGCAGCTATAATGCCCCCATGACACAACCTGGACGGTGCTTTTTTGAATAAATCGATAGCTGCTTGCTTACTTGTCCTCTGCCTCCTCTGCAGACAAGCAGAGTGGGCAATTGCATCCCTCCTGGGCAGTGTCCTAGTCCAAGTTATGAGATAGAAGATTTGTATTGGGAGCAACCAGAAATGCCAGTCAATTGCATTTTTTTGGTAATTAGGTGCCAGGTAACAGGGCTTTTCCTCTATACGAGCCTGGCATTGTACCATCAACAACAGTAATAGCCGTCCATTAAAGTTTAAATTGTATTTTACAGGGGATGGAAAGGTGAATTTTGAAGACTTTCTGACCTCCTTGGCCAATCCCCAGAACATCTCTGAGCTGGAAGGTAAGTGAAGGCTTTAGAACAGTGTTTCTTCAACACTGGTGTGCCACGGAACACAGTTTAAGAAACACTGCTTTAGAAGAAAGGAGGGGGAGAGGCAAACTGTATAAATAGAAAATGATCCAGTCCATTCGCTCTGACAAAGAACATCTTCTACAATTGCCCATCTGCTACCAGCAGTTTACATCGGCAAAACTGTCTCCACTGTGAACTTCAGGAGCAAAATGTGAATCTGATTTTAAAAATCAGGCCCGTTGGATGCAATTCAGCGCCGCAAAGGCCAGCAGGCCACCAAAATCCCACTTCCATTCTCGAAATGGCACTTCAGCGGTGCACGGACCCTGTGTACAGGATGAATTTCTCCTACGAGTCACTTGGCAAGGAGCATTGAAACCTTCTCACCCCCTTCGACAACAAATCCAGTCACGGCCAGTGCCCTGACTCACAGGGTGTGTCTAGACTACAGGGTTATGTTGACAAAAGTGACTTTTGTCGACAAAACTAAACTTGCATCTACACTACCGCCGAGTTCTGTTGACATAACGTCGACAGAACTCGGCAGTTTTGTCGACGTATGTAAACCTCATTCTACGAGGAATAACGCCTTTTGTTGACAGAGTTCTGTCGACAGAAGGCGTTATTGCATCTACACTGTCCTTTGCGTCTACACTCTCATGTCAACAAAGCGGCTTGCTTTGTCGACAGAACTGGATGCAGTCTAGACGCTGTTTGTCGGCAAAAGCCTGTAGTCTAGACGTACCCCCAGAGTCTGCTCTTCGTTATTACACACAGGAGCTGTGGCCATGTGTAATAAATCACTAGCACCTCGTGCGATGGCACAAGGTAGCTGGACCCCTTTGCCTGTTTAGCTGAGACAACGAACCTTCGTGTGCAGAAAGCTCCTTCGTCTGCACGGGAGATGTGGGACGAGTGAGAGGGGAGTGAACTTGGGGAGGAGAGCACCCAGCTTCCCAGTCACCCTCTGTGACGTAGTGGGGGTACTTGCTGGGCTGTGGTGACCTCTGCTGTCTGGAGCAAGACCCAGCAGGGAAAACCTTATTATGCAAAGGTGACTCCATACCGGTTGAACCAGCCAACCCCCCATGGGGAGAAACAAAGGGAGGTGGAATGCTGCCCTGGCTGGGGGCAGGGCTTGGAGAGGGGGAGTGAGTTCCTGGCTGGAAAGCACGGGAGAAGGAACTGGGGAGGGGGCTGGGATTCCCCTATCTCAAGGGGGGCACTGAGGCCTCTTAGCCCCCAGTTCCTGTAACCAGATTACATCTGTGCTGTGCTGTGTCCTGGAGGAGCAATAAACTCCCTCTATTCTACTGGCTGGTGGAGTCTGTTTGTGCCATTTCGGGGTGCAGGAGACAGGGGACCCCCAACGCGCCGTCACACCCTCCTTCTTCCCAGGGGTAAAGCAGGGACCTTGCCGCCCCCCAAACTTTAACCCTCAGCTTGAGAATTCCCCTTCCCTGTGTCTGGAACTGCTCATACTGGTCAGAAAAGCCCACAAGAATTTCCATGGATCCGACTGTTTTATCCCACACACGCTGCTTTAGCTTCACATCATTAGCCATGTCCAGGAACTGTTCCTGAACAGCCAGCTCACACATGCCTCCCGAGCTTGTGATTCCTTTCCCCCTCACCTCCTTCTCTAGCAGATCTTTCATTTGGTTCATATAAGCCTCATTGCTTAGCCCAGCCCCCCATCTAAATTTCACCCTGTAAGTTACAGGTGTGATCCAAAACTGTTTTACACCAGATCCCTGCATTTACCATCATTTGATGCATCAGCAATCAGCATCGACTATGTCCACGGCTCACCCTTTCAGGTTTGCAACCAGAGTGGGCATTTTCCGAGTCAGGAACTGAATAGATGACGCACAGTCTCTCAAAGCGGAAGTATCTGGCGATGTCTGAGGATTCATTATAAACTGGGCACAGTCGATCCCACTCCCGGATTTTTGGAGGGAGGATCCTGTTGAGTCGGGGTGCTAACTCTTCCAGGCCAGTTCACGCAGTCTCTCTTGCTCCCTCTCCTCTTGAGCAGCGCATTAGGCTGCTGCTTCTTTGTCCTTTTCAAGCTTTGTCAGTTCCAGGGCTCTCTCGGGGGCTTCTCCCTGGGCTTCTAGGGCTTCCTCGTGGGCAGCCTTTGGGCTCTCTCTTCTCTGTCTTTTTCAAGTCATTTCGCTCCATGGTGCTCTCATGGGCAGCCGTTGGCCCGGCAGCTTGCACTTCTGTTTTCAGCTTCTTTAATTCCATTTGTCTTTTCTGTTCAGCCTCCTTCCCTGCCACGTGGGCTCTGTGACGTGCCAGTTTCTTTTGACCCTCGCTCTCGCTCATTTTGTGGCTTTTCCTGCCTCTGTTTCCCTGACTTGAAATAAGCCAATAGAAAAAACCAACCCAGTAACGGCCCTGTCTGTCCTCTAACCACCACTGCAGGTAGAACTAGTCTGGCACTCTCTGGTCTGGCAACAGCCATGGGCAGCATGAGGTCCACTTATCATGGGTGTGGCCAAGTTTTCCATGGTCCCATAAGGTTTGTTTACAGCCACCAGTCCTGGCTCTTAGTGGTCTATTATTTAGCTCTAATTTACTCCTCAGAGCCCAGTAAGGAGGGAAATGTTGAGATATTCCTATCTCAGGGAGAGAGACAGGACCTTGAGAGGTCATCACGTCCAGTCCCCTGCCCTCATGGCAGGATTAAGTACCATCCCTAGCAGAGTTGCCCCAAACGGCCCCCCTCAATGATTGAGCCCACAACCCTGGGTTTAGTAGGCCACTGCTTAAAGCACTGTGCTACCCTTGGTTTGGCAAATTGCCCCTAGACAATATTGACCTCCTGTGGTTTGGCAAATTCTCTGGTTCAGCACCAGTCATATCCCAAGGGGGGAGGACTAGAGAGGTTCAACCTGTACTAGCATCCAGAGCACCCAGCTGTGCACATGCCCTGTTCGCTGCGCCGCTGTGATGGGGTGTGGTCACGAAAGTCCCCTTGGGATTGTTCCCCAGTGTGCTGATCTTGTTCTCTGGGACTCCCCATCACCTGGTCCTGCTGGGGCAGATCATTTAGTCTCCCCCAGACAAGGCACAGAGTTGGGGTTACAATCCCCCCGCAGAGCAGCATGGACACTGAACCACTTCAGCTTTGGGAAGACTCGAGTCTAAGGGCTCGGCATCCAGGAAACCGATCCCCAAATGGGACCAGCCCTCCCCGCGACACACACACACACACAAACACACACACACACACAAATCCATCTTTCTCCGTGAAAAAGTTCTGTACAGAAAAATCTCCTAAGGTGTCTATCCTCTATCAGTGAAAGGGAGAGATGCACAGTGGTTGCTCCCCACAGGTAACAATTATTTACACTGGGCCTGATAATAAACAAAAGTGGTTTTAGTAAGTGCAAAGTGTAGGATTTCAGTGTTTGCAAGTGAAAACAGTCAAATCAAAGTTACTAAATTAAAACATAGAAAATACATACCTAGTTCTAATCCACTCAGAAACATATTACATGCAAATTCTTACACTAAACTGCTGTTCTTATTTCATATATATGCTTCAAATCAGAGTGGATCTCTTACTCTGAGGCAATGTCTATACTGTCGGTTTTTTGGAAGAAGATACGCAAATCATGCTCTCATTTGCATATCTTCTGCCGATCCTTTTTGCAGAAGAGATTTTGCGGCTAAAAAGCTCCGTGTGGATGGGGCCATTTGTTGGGAAAAAAAAAAACCCTTTTTCGCAAGATCCTGTAAACCTCATTTTTTGAGGAATAAGGGATCTCGCGGAAAAGGTTTTTTTCCCAACAAGTGGCCCTGAGTACATGGGGCTTTTTAGTGTCAAAACCTCTTCTGCAAAAAGGATCGGCAGAATATGTGCAAATGAGAGCGCGATTTGCGCATCTTCTGCTGAAAAAAAATGCCAACGTAGACATAGCCTGAGTTGGGCCTACAACTTCTTTAAAGATCTTTTGTATCTTCTTGGGGTGGGCCAGGCAGTTCCAAAAGCCAGCTGAGGACAAAAAGCTGATGGCTTCCCAACGCTTAAACAGACTTTCCCCCAGGGCAGGAATCCTTTGTTTTGCATCTCCCATCCCCATGGAAAATTACCGGGTCCAAGTTGGACTCCAGTACCAGGTGGCATGATCACATGTTTTCCTAGAACCAACCATCTTTTGGACTTACAGGACAAACAAGGCTATTTACAGTCATTGAGCTGATCATGGAGCCATTGGGATTCTGGGGCACCAGTAATGCCATTAGGGCTATAAATAGATCCACACGTCCTGTTTCTAACTTCACATACAAGAATGAGACAGGCACAAAAATAGGCTATACAGATCCAGCAGACTGTAACTGTAAAATTGACAGGTTACATAAGGTATCTTCGAGTTTTGCATATTCACATTCACATGCCAATCTTCATGAAGCATGGGGGGGAGGGTCACAATTTGCTCCATAATCTTTCCAGGAACTGAAGTTAAGCTGACTGGTCTGTAGATGGGTATTCTGTTTGCCCTTTTCCAGTCCTCTGGAATCTCTCCCATCTCCTATGACTTTTGAAAGATACTAGCTAATGGCTCCGATATCGCTTCAGTCAGCTCCTTGAGTATTCTCGGATGTAGTCCATCAGGCCCTGGGGACCTGAAGACATCTGACTTGTCGAACTAATTTTTAATGTGTTCTTTCTCTGCTAGCCTCTGATCCTACTTCATTTTCACTGCCACGGTAGGACGCACCCCCTTGTGCTGATGCAGAGACATGGACCAGTTAACGTTTTGCTTTTTATTCTCTGCACATTTGCAGCGGTGCAGGGGGCCTTGGATGTCGTCAGTAGGGTTGAAGATGACAAAATGGAAGTTTCACACCTGGAGTCGGCTCTGGCTGGCATGGGCATCACGTTACCCAAGGGAGAGCTGGAGGAAGCCCTGAGACACGCTACCGTTGATGGTGAGCACCCTGTGTAGGGTGTCTGTGTTTGTAGGAGGCTGGCTGTGTGTATGGCACAATATGTGGGGTTGGATAATTTCTCTTTGGCTGGGGATATGTAACCGCTCAGGCCTAGGTATTGCCCAGCACCGGGGTCTGGAAAGGGATGTGTATGGGGCATGTTCCGCTGGGTCCTTTTGTAGCTGTGGGGAGATCGAGGAGCAAGCCTCCCCAGTATGCACGGCCAGCTCTCCCTAATGCTGGGTTCTGGGGCGCAAGGCACCTGCGGGGGGCCCTAGCCAATGAGCAAACGCAGCTTTGCTGGGGTACAAGTGGCAGGGCCAGTCCCTCTGTGTGGATCCGAGCACGGGCCTGGGGCCGGGTCTCTCTCTTGGCCATGCGGACGCTGTGCTCTGGCCAGTGCACAGTGAATGGAAAGCGGCTGGAGAGATGTGCTGAAGAACCCCCCCCACGCAGGATCACTCTGTGATGGCACCAAGCTGGCGACGGCCCCTCCTGCCACCGCCACTTCCTGCCCCAGACTCCCCTTCACTCCCGCAGAACAGGTGGCCAGAGAAGGGACGTGTCCGTGGATCAAAGGGCGCAGTGAACAGCTGAGAACCAGAGAGCCCTGATCAACCCCCCCGTGTGCCCCGGCCCAGAGGACTATTGAGCCCTGGTCCTAGGTTCCAATGCTGCTGCTGTGGATGTGCGAGCAATCCCACTGAAACCCACGGCACTCACGGGGGAGTCAGCCGAGCGGGGGGCACGGCAGATCAGCTGTTCACCTGGACCTGGAGGGTCAGGAGACCTTCATTCTAGCCCGGATCTGACCTTGGCTGCATGCGACTTGCCCGTGCTCTCAACAGTGGCCGTGATTTCGGGCACCTGACTTGAGACAATCTGGGTCCGTGTCTCAGAGGTTTGAACTGCCCGGGCTCCCGTGGGCACTGCACTTTCAGAGGAGGTTCCTAAGAACAGAGAGCCACAGCGGTGAGCCGCTGGTGGGCGTGTCTCACAGGATCTTCTCCATAGCTGATCCACAGGGGATCTGAGTCTCTTACCGCCCTGGGCCTTGTGGCTCTGTAGCTCAAGGATTTCGCTCTGGAGGTCTGTGAACGGGTTCAGTCCCAGGCGTGTTGGCTTAAATGGCAGCAATCCCACAAAGTCAGTCGCTGCTTCCGAGAATGAGCTTCCCTCCCGGAGCCTGTTTTCCCACGTCCTGTAACTGACAGGCCGCTGGGCTCTCTCCACATCTGACCTGCGCGTTTTCTTGCAGGAGACGGGAAGGTGAACTTTAATGACTTTCTGAAGGGTTTGACCAGCACCAAACGTTTCTCCAGAACCCTCAGTGAGTGAGGCGCTGAGGGCAGGGCAGAGATGGATGGAAGATGCTTTGTGTCGTGGAATCCAGGCTGGGTTTGCAAGGGTTCCCCAGGTCTCTAAAGCGTTGCATGTGCCCTGCTGTCATCTCCTGCAGCATTTGGGGCCAGATTAGAGACCGTTCAAGGACTCCTGTGCCCAGTAGATCCACGAGCGGCCAGTGCAACTGGTTCATGGCTCTCCTGGTGGCTCCCTGGTGAATGAAATTTGCTTGCTATCTGACCATGCGCCCAGGATGTGAAACCCGAGTGCCACACTGCTCTTCCAACTGGGACTGAGCACCAGGCCGGGGGCTTACAGAGCAACCTGTCTCACCCCTGGTTTCATATCGAGCTCCATTCGCCCACAGACAGCATGTGGCCCTCTGGGAGCTCAGCTCTCCCACAGGAGCATGTTGCAGACACCCGGCGCACCCAGAGCAGACTCCTGTTGGCAGACTGGACAGGCGGCCGGCGTTAGGGTGCTGGGCTGTTGTCAGGGTGCACACCCCACCGTGCCTCAGTGCCCCCTGACCGTCCTCATCTAGCCCCTCTCAGGGCAAGTTACAGTCTGTATGGGTTGGTCATCATTGGCATCGGGGTTATCTCTACTGCCCCGCTTACCTAGGCTGCATCGTGATCCGCCTCCAAACCCTGGGCCTTGCCTCCGGCCCCTAGCCGGGGAGAGTCTTGGCTGGCCCTCTCCCAGCCCTAGCTGGCTATCCCCAGCTGGTCTCCCTCCTGGGAGCTCCAGCTTCCCCTGCAGTCAGCCCTTCACTGGCTCTCCTCTCTAAGCAAACTGTGCTTCTCTAGCAGCCAGCTGGGCTCTCACTAGCCCTAACAGCTTCAGCTGGCCTCTCTGTTCCCAGCCCCGGCTCAGGGCCTGAGTCCTGGTCTTAAAGTGCTAGTGAAGGGCAGGCGCCCTGTCACAGCTGTTCTTAACCCAAGCGCTGCTCTGTGCCCAGCAGGCTGTGCTATTACAAGGCGCTGTGGCTCCTGGACATGCCAAAATTATTACTCAGGCCCACCTGCTAGGCTGGGCCTATGGCCAGGCAGGATGCATGGCCTTAACTCCATTCCCCGGTGACTGCTTCCTGAGAGCTGGACCCAGAGAAGAGTCAGTGAAGGAGAAAACGCACTGAGCCGAGTCACTCTGAGCTTCCCTACAGCCCAGAGTTCACCCATCTGGTCAGCACCCCTCTCTGTGTCAGGCCGGGCAGACTGGAGTTCCAGAGAGAGGATGGGGCTGAAAATGGGCAGGACTCCAGGCAGCATCTGGCTGTCTCCATTCGGAACATCTCCCAAGGGGACACGTAAGTTAGGCTTACGTAGACAGGTCTGCTTCCAGGGCCTGAACCAACGTCCCTTTGTACGTGTGGCCTTTGCCTTGATCGGGACTGGCTCAGGCCTCTAGCATTCGGTGCCGCCTTTGGAGCTCCTGTTGAGTTCTCTTCGGAAGCTAAGAACTTGGGTCACGTTTTCTTCTTCCCCAAGCAGCCTTCCCAACCAGCCCCCTCCTCTCTCCTGCCCAGGAGATGGCTGACTCTGCGGACCAGAGTCCTCACTGCACCTTCTTTTCACGCTCACAGAGATGGAAGGGGCTGTGAGAGCCATTGGTGCCATCAAAGAGGACACGGTGGACGTTCATCACCTGGAGTCCATCATGCGCAACATGGGAATTCATTTAACCCCCTCGGAGATTGAACTGGCCCTAAAGCACGTGGCCTGTGAGGGTGAGCATTTCAGTCGCCTCTTCCTTGCTGAGGCTGTAACTTTTGCCTGGGGGCAGAGGGGCTGTTTGTACGCTTGGGAGGATACCTAGGGCTACTCGTTCCGTTTAAAACTGGCCCCAGGGCTGTCATGAGACACATCCCTTCTCTCATCATATTAATCTTGGACCTCACGCCTGTGGCTCCAGCGGTCAGATGAGGTCTGCAAACACTGGCCTATGTGACACAGTTGTCCTGTCCCCGGCTCAAGGATTTTCATGGACATGCTGACATCAGGGGGAGGCCTTGTCTTCCTCAGGGTCAGATCTGGGGTTTGGAGAAAGGCCCTTCCATATCTCAGCCCCTCAGAGCTCCACGGTTGGGGGACCCAAAGAACATTCAACAGCTAATGAGCTGATTCACCACAGTGTAACTCCAAGGTGGTGTGGACAGAATTCCATTGATCACAACAGACCTAACTAGTGTAAAACCAGTGCAACACAATGCTGAATCCAACCTTAAACATTGACTGCGTTTGCCTCCCTTAGGGTGTGTCTATATAGCAAGGCTTATCTCGAAATGAGCTATGCAAATTGAACTACGTCAATTGTGTAGCTTATTTCAAAATAGCTTATTTTGAAATTGGGAGCATCTGCACAGCACTTATTTCGAAATAGAGCCCTCTTCCTCCGACTTCCCTTACTCCTTGTACAGTGAGGGTTCCCGGAGTCAGAGTGAGAAGTCCTCCAGCTTGACAGTATTTCGACGCTATTTCAAAATAACTGCCTGCTCTGTGGATACGGACTAAGATATTTCAAAATAACATTGCTGCGTAGACGTACCCTCGGTGTTCATGAGCTAAACTTATCCCTGGTGTAATGCTGTCAAGCTCAATGAAGATGCCACAGGGATAAATTTGGTCCTATAATTTTAAGATTTTCAATAATTTAACTGAAGGTTTTCATCCAAAGCCCTTTGACAGCTTTGGAAACCTCCCCTCCTACCCCGGCTTTGACTTTGCTCATCATTTTTGCCTTCTCCCTGACCCGGATATCTCCTCCAGAAGATGGGAAGGTGGATTTGAAAGATTTCATGACAGCTTTGACCAAAAGCCGGCGATTTTCCCAAGCTGAAAGTAAGTGGAAAATGTCATGTACAGCAGCGCCCAGCAGCAGGACTGGGATCCCACAGGACCTGCTGCCATAATAGCAGAAGCGGGTACTTTGGTGCAGGCAGGATTGGGTGGGCAAAAAAGCCAGTCTGTGGGAATTTGAGGGAAACTATTAAATCTCTTGGGAATTTGTCCTAAATAGAATTGCAGCAACATAAAGTAAGTTGTTTTTAAATTCAAAGTTTTAATACTTTTATCAGTGAGGTTGGGGAAAGATTTGGATGTTTTTCTAGCAGGCATTCAAGGAAACCTTGATGTGGTTTGAGCGAGAGTTGCTTTATGCATTTTGAGGTAAAAATAGTGTCCAAATTCCATGCATGTGTGTATTAACTGACCCCTCCACCCTTTTCTTTTTTCAACAAAACCATGGGGCAATCTGTCTCCCTTGTGGGATTTGCAGAATCTAAGGTGTGAGTGGGATATAAATGCAAGAAACAATGCGGGAGGTGGGAGTGAGTATTGCAAGGCAGAGTTAAAAAAATAGTCCGGTCCAGTGCTCTAGTATGATGGTTCTCACCTCAGCTTACACACAACCCTGGGGGAATGCAAAGGTTTGCCTGGGGGGTACATCAATTCATCTAGAATAGATATTTGCCTAGTTTTACAACAGGCTACATTAAAAAGTGCTATAGTGACATCAGTACAGGCTTTCATATGAACAGTAACTTGTATAGCTCTATAGACTATAACTATATAACTCTAGTAACTATATATATATACAGGGCTCGACAAACTGCTGTTTTTACTCGCCCGTGGTGCGTAGATTTCAGCCAGTCACTCCGTGCACCCCATTCATCGGTGCTGCACGCATGCACAGTGCTGGTCTGGCACATGCATGATGCGGGGTTGGCGAGTAGCTCTCGCTGCAATTTGTTGAGCCCTGTACATAGATATATAAAACTCTAATAACTCTGTAGACTGTACACTGAAGCATACGTGCAGTATTTGCCTGCCAGTTGCTTTGTTCTATAATTATGTGGTCAAAGTAAAATGTTTTCAGTATCCGCGTGTTGAGACACTTTTGTATGTTTGTCTGATTTTGTAAGCAAGCAGTTTGTCAATGAGGGGAAACGCGGGGGTCTGCCATACAAATCCGACTCCTTTGTACGGTAGTCTGGAAGGGCTGAGAGTCACTGCTCCGGAATAAGGAATTATAGATGGGGAGCCCTCTGCTGGCTCTCACCATATTCTGTATTTCGAGACGCTGTAAAAGCACCAGGATGTATGTTGCTAAGTGGACGGCGGGAGGGGGGGGACAGAAAATTTTGGGGGGGTTGGGAGCCACACAAAAATGAGAAACAAAATTAAAAAACCTCACTGAAAAAAGACACTCCCCCATTCCCCTTGCACTCCAGTCCCGGAGCCTAAGGTGCCCCCCCCCAGGCTCTGGGGTGGGGCCAAAAACGAGGGGTTCAGTGTGTGGGGAGGGCTGCTGGGAAACTGGCTGGGTGGTGCGGGGGCTGGGTGGGAGGGAGGGGGCAGGAGGGCGGGGGGGGGGGGGGG